CTCCTTGCAAAAAGAGGAACATTTTTTGAAGCATGATGCTATTTTGGAATGCTTTGTGCAGGGCTCTCAAGGCACTTCACAAATGCAAACCCACCTGCAGCCTCTCTGGGCTGGTAGGTAACAAATCTCTTTTCACCAGCAGAAAGTCAGCAGCAGAAGTCGTAAGCAGTGACAAGCAAAGCCAGGAATAAGAACATTTAGGCCTGAAGCCAATCCCCAGCTATAATTTCTAAACTGTTTTCCATAGAATGGTTTAGGTTGGAAGGGGCCCTCGAAGCTCCTCTAGAGCAAACCCCCTGCAATAAGCAGGGACATCTTCAACTAGATCAGGTTGCGCAGAACCACATCCAGCCTGGTCTTGAATATCTCCAGGGATGGGGCATCCACCACCTCTCTGGTTAACCTGTGCCAGTGTTTTATCACCATCATTGTAAAGAATTTCTTCCTCACATCCAGCCTTTCAGTTTAAAACCATCACCCCTCGTCCTGTTGCAACAGACACTGCTAAAAAGTCTTTCCTGTCTTTCTAATAGGCCCCTTTTAAGAACTGAAAGGCTGCAATAAGGTCTCCCTGGAATCTTCCCTTCTTAAGCAGTAAGTGCGGGCCCAAGGCAACTGGAGAGCATCGCAGCAAACACACCTCCACCCTGTTGCCGCCACTCCTCCCCGTCGACCATTCCCCATCCTCCTCAAACTACAGACAAGCCGCCCCACACCAGCTTCACTGTGAAGCCCCGCAGCTTCTCAAATTGAGAGCACGGACACCTGCGCCTCCACTGTCCACGCCGGGGTAGGGGAACGCCGGGCACCGTCGGCTCCGTCCCCGCCCCGCCTGCAGTAGCATAAGATGGAGGCGGGCAGGCCCCGCTGCCTAACAGGGCTTGGTGCCAGGGGAGAGACAGCCCCTGGATTCGCAGAAAGCGGCGGGAGAAAACCCGTGGGGGCGAGGCCGTCCCCGGGGAAAGACCCGAGCAACCACCAGCGAAGAAGGGGAGCGCCAGCCCTCAGTCATACCCGCCGTGGGGCGTGTGTCATTCCGCTGCTCCGCCCGCCGGTCGCCATGGGAACCGCAGCCGGAGGCGCCATGAGCCGCGCGGTGCCCGGCGCTTTGCAGGCCCAGCTCCTTGGGGACTGCCGACAAATGGCCTCCGGTCGGACCCTCTATTACCCCTACGGTACCGGGTCCGGCCCGGAGGGACAGCGGCTTCCCCGCGCCCCCTGCTCTGTCTGCAGCCCCCGGGGCGGGGGAATTTCCGCAGGGAGGGAGGCCGCGTCCAGGTCCCGGGCGCGGGGTGTTGTGTGCTGGGGGGGGGGGGGGTGTGGTCTGGCCGAGCAGGCCCCTCGCCTCTTCCCGGGCCCTAGGATGAGGTGCGGGGTCAGAGCTGGCCCAGGAGCTGGCACTGGCTGACCGGCAACGAGCTGGGTCGGGAAATAGGGTTTAGAACGGGAGGGTGGAGCAGGGCAGAGCTGTACAGCCGTAAAGCCTTAGGGATGGCAGCAATAACGAAAGTACCAGAGGTGAGGAGAGGCTTGGGACTATAAAACACCTGCGAGCTGGGGGAAAGTCAACACTAGTTCTTTATGCTGGAGGGAAGCACCGTTTACAGTGAATTTCCACTCATTACCAAGCTTGCTTGTTTGTTTGTAATGTCTTCACTTTAAGTGATTCCAAAGAAACATTTTTCTTCAGTCATGCTCTTCTACAGAACTGCGGTATTTCAGCTCTGAGGCTTATTTGCATGATGGTGTATTTCAGTTTTTTTCTTTCCTAGTTTGTGTTATACTGTCTTATTTACAGACTTTTAAAGATGGAAGTGGAGCCTGACCATTCACACGGATTCCTCAAATATGTAACTAGTTCCATTTGTTCACTTATCTTTCAGACCCTCCATACACACTGTCAAGTGAGAAGGATCATTCAAAGTCAAATGCCCTTTTTGGTGATAAAGTGGTAGGTGTTGGCCAAAGATAGCTCACTTGTGCACCTTTTATTTCTGTATATGCATATATACCTGGGTAGAAACTCAGTTCTAAGCTGCCCCCTTAAAACCAAAATACAAAGCAAAGGAAGCAGTTTTATCTAAAACAAGACTTAGCACAGGGAGTTACCACATCCCTTGGCCTAGGGTGACTCCGCAGCAGCAGCCTGGAAATGCCTAGTTCCATGTCCTGAGTAATTTCCTAAATTGTGTGTCGGTAGCATGACCAGCAGATCGAAGGAGGTGATCCTGCCCCTCTGCTCTTGTGAGACCCCCCCTTGCAGCGCTGTGTGCAGTTCTGGTGTCCTCAACATAAGGACATGGAGCTGTTGGAGCAAGTCCAGAGGAGGCCACAATCAGGCGCATGGAGCACCTCCTGTATGAAGACAGGCTGAGAAAGTTGGGGCTGTTCAGCCTGGAGAAGAGAAGGCAGCTGCGTGGAGACCTCATAGCAGCCTTCCAGTATCTGAAGGGGGCTACAAGGATGACTGTAGTGATAGGACAAAGGGTGATGGATTCAAACTGAAACAGGGGAGGTTCAGGTTAAGTATAAGGAAGAAGTTCTCTACTGTGAGGGCAGTGAGGCACTGGCACAGGTTGCCCAGAGAAGTGGTAAATGCTCCATCCCTGGGAGTGTTCAAGGCCAGGTTGGACAGAGCCTCGGGCGACATGGTCTAGTGTGAGGCATCCTTGCCCATGGCAGGGAGCTTGAACTAGATGATCTTAAGGTCCTTCCCAACCCAAACTGTTTTATGATTCTGTAATTCTATGATTTATAATAGATTATCTCCAAATGCTGTTAGCAGCAGCTGTTACTAAGATCTAAAAAAGAATTGGACTATTGTTCAAGCAGAGCTGTTAAAATGTGTTACTTCACATGATGCCTCCTTACCTTGGAATATACTTAAACCACAGTTCAAGGTAGCATACTTAGTTTAAAGTGAACTAGGTAGTAACAGCTAGGTAGCCTGTAAAGGTTGCACACCCATCCTAATTCATATTATCTTCCTCACTAAGCCCTTAGTTAGCCCACTGTTTAGCTCCCTACTGCTTTTGCTGCCCTGCTATCAGTATTCACCCTAACTAGTTTAAAACCAGTTAGGGCGTGTCTGTGGGAGTTGCAGTCACACCATTAGACAGCAGTGATCGATGGCTGGACAGGCTTCATATCGGTAGAATGCCAAGGGAAAACAGACTTGGTACAACTGCATAATGAATTGGATTTTAAACAGAGTCCTCTTGAAACTGTGCACTTGACTGAGCCTGCAAGGCAGGATACGCTGAGCTCTGAAACTCCATTGCTGTACAGTAAGGAGAAAATCCACGAGCAGCTTTCCAGTAATGGAGTCAAGAAACATTTTTTAAGAATACTTTGGGATGCCTCTTACCCCGTTATCTCAGTCTCTTTCCTACATCTACATAAAAAAACCAACAACAAAACATTATTTTTGTCTGCCTCTCTGTAGAAAGATACACACCTAGAGCTGGAAACATTACCTGTCATCACAGAGATCCTTGCAAGAGTATTGCTGTGTTAGCAGTGAAGACAAGACAAAGTGAGGTGGCATACCGTCACTAATGTTGTCATGTCCCAGGTGTGATGTTGTGGATGGATATGGTGACAGACTCTGACCTGCATGAAACATCGTTTAAGCATATGAATCACCACGGGCACAATGTGCGATTCAAAACAATGCAACTTTGAATTCTTAATCTATAGGATCACAAAATGAGTGGACAGAGTTTGGGATAATACTAGTTTGTAGGGTTTTCCAAAATCCTGAGGTTGAATTCCCTTTGAAGAGAAGTGAAACAAAAATGCAGTCTCATGCACAGCAAGCCGCTGGTCATAGTTGGGAGTCCCAAATCTTCATCATCTGACATTCTCTTACACTCTGGTGAGTTAGCATAGTTAGTCACTACTACCCCATCCAGGTTAGCACCAGATGAAATAAAAGGGGTGATTCACAGTTCAAACCTTGATTTCAGGCTTTAAAGAAGCTCAAGCCAATATAGCTACATCACTTCCACTTGAGTCATGATTGCAAAGATTTATTTGCAATAATAAATCTGGAGATTTAGGGCATATCTACCCAGGGAAATAAGTACTTAGAAGGAAGGGTGTGGATTTTTAACGTGATCGTTTTTGTGTGCTAACTCCCGTGCAGGTATTTTTATCACAGGCTAAAATTGTTACAGTATAAAATAATATAAGTGGAATATGTTACTTCGTTTCCAGAGCACACAAAATAAGAGGAAGCTACATGGGGTAATGTGCTAGAAGTTCACATCACTGCACATTCACAGTTACTGCACACTAACTTTTTTATGTAACGAACCATTAGATCTCAATTTTAAGTGTCAGCTTAGCACTGGAAAATAGCCACAAGACATATCTGTGTGTCTGCTTCTAGTCTGGTATGCTCCACATCTTGAAAAGTACCATCTAACCAGCTGACATCATTAACATATGTATGCCTCCTTCTTTCCCCATCTCAAATGTGTAGTTCTGTAAATCACAGCAAGCTGAAATTCTGATCTCTTCACTGCTGTTTGAAATTACTTAATCACTGCCACTCTTCTTTGTGTCCACACAAACATTAGGTAAAGGCACCAGTGCTCAGAAGTATGTTTAGAACCTTGATGCATTTTCCAAGCTATGGTGTGTGGTTGGAAGGCAAAGATCCAGTACCTCCATTTATTGACCAAAGATGGAAAGGGAGTGCTCAGCATCGCCTGGTGGCTCTTCAGCAGCTTGCTGCGTAAGTGTTCTATGGATGATTTCAAAAACCCATACAAACAAACCCAACAAAACCCATGCACACTGAAGTGGAGATGACTGCAATTTGCTCCTACTTACATTTCCCTTGAAATTAAGAGATTGCAGCTGTTGTGAAGTATGGTTGCCCATCTGTTTCTTACAGGGTGGATGTTGCACATTCCTTCATCCCTGTGTTATCCTCTTTGCAGCGGTTGCCGGGAAAGGGAAGAGAGTTAGGGTTATTTCAATCTTAAAAAGACGAAATAAGTTATGAAGACTTCAATGACTCATGTGTGTACTTCAGCGGGAGCTCTTTCTTTTTAGTCCAGTGCAGGTTTCAACTAGCGCAGTTGCAGCTGGTTAGATTGCTTTTGCTGCTCATTCAAGGGTATACAAGGCCTGAACCAGGACACCACATTTTTAGTGCAGGGGTGTCTTAGTTAAACTTTATCCTGGCATCACAATTTGGGCTTCTGATTCTGCAGATGTTAAAAAACTTCTGTGTGTTTTGCCACACCATGTGTTCTTTGAAATCCCCTAGTAGCTGTATTCAAGATTGCAGGCATCAGCCTAGTTGTTTACAGAGGTTTGTGTTGCATTAGCAAGCTAACTGTGGACCACAGGCTTTTCAGATGATGTGTGCTCTGGGGTTGCTGGTAGCTGAGTTCCACCGCATGCCAGACAGTAACCAAATATAGTTTCAGAGTGATAAAGCACCTGGTTTTGTTCAGTTTTGAAAGCATATTCTTCTAATTTTCATAATAAAATAAGAAACTTTGAGCTTTAATTTTTTTTTTTACTATTATTTTCAGCATTTCACACTGTCCCCAGCAAATGAAAACCTCAGTGGCTTTTTCTATTTTGACTGTTATTATGTAACAACTAATTTGACACCTGCACCGCTTTAAAATTGATTTACATTTCAACAACATGTATTTGCAAAATGTCTTGTAATTAACAAAAAAAAAAAAGAGAAATCCATCCCCTCTGTTTCAGCCTGCATGGACTGACAGTGTTGCTGATACAGAAGATAGCATATTTCCCAGCTGTCTTCTCGGTAGTTGCATTGCCTCTGCAAGGTTACCAGGAATAAATGCCCATTTATTTCAGCAAAGTCAGCAAATATAAGTCAAGGACATGCAAGAGGCAGGATCTGTGGAATAAAAAAGGCTGTTTCACTGGGTTCCCATTGTGCCTATAACTATACCATAATAGGATGAACAGCTTATGCTAATAAAGTTAGATCATAAGAATAAGTGCCCACCTGTGCTGAATGAAACATAAACCCATCTGGATGGAGCAACAGCCTGATCTGTGAAGAGTCAGTTAGTGGAACTAGCCATCAGCTCCATTATCTCATTTGAATTACAAACACAACTTCACAATAACAGGTTGATTAGTGCTAAGCAAGTATCTCAGATTACTGCATCCCAAAACATTTTCCTCTCTTTTGTTACATGATAGGACTGAAAGCACTGGGAAGAGATGACTTTAAACTTACCTTGGCAGTAAATTGTATGTCACGGGAGGTTAATGAAGCATATCTCTGTAGGCTTTGCTGCAATAGGTAGCCATACAGTGGCTCGTGAAGTTCCACAGTGCATGTTGGAGGGCTTAGATGAGGTCTTTGAAGACAAGCAATCTCAGCATGGAATCCTCTGGTTTGATCCCAGCTGTCAAGCAATGTTACGTATTGTTAATTGTATCTCTGTAAATATATCTCTGTATTTAAAATTAGGCCATAGCAACCAGTTTCAGCACCCACAATCCTGAGGTCAGGTTTCTTAAAAGCCACCCAAAAAATGGTCTTACAAAAAATGACCTTCAGGACTTGCCATATATATGTAGCTTGAGGAAATTACTTATCTTGGTGGCATGGTATGGGCTTTTGGGTTTGGTTTTGGTTTGTTTTTAAAAAAAGAACTTCAGTTTCTTGTCTTAACCACCTTGCAGGTTGAGAAGAGAGTAAGACTGGAGTATAAAGTGATTGTGAGATCAAATAGGAGTCCTGATGCATAGGGGGCCTATAGGGATGCTGAGGAGGGACTCTTCATTAGGGACTGTAGTGATAGGACAAGGGGTAATGGGTTAAAACTTAAACAGGGGAAGTTTAGACTGGATATAAGGAGGAAATTCTTTCCTGTTAGGGTGGTGAGGCACTGGAATGGGTTGTCCAGGGAGGTTGTGAATGCTCCATCCCTGGCAGTGTTCAAGGCCAGGTTGGACGAGGCCTTGGGTGGTATGGTTTAGAGCGAGGTGTCCCTGCCCATGGCAGTGGGGTTGGAACTTGATGATCTTAAAGTCCTTTCCAACCCTAACTATTCTATGATTCTATGATTCTATGACTCAATTCTATCCAATGTCTCACTGACTACCTTTATGAGGTCTACCTCATTAAAATAAGCTTTAACATAAAAAGCTCAAAGATGTTCTAGGGAAAAATTTAAACAGTCTGCCTACTTTAAATTCAAAAATGGGGTAAAAACTGAAGAAAGACTGTTCTTGCAAAAGATATGGTTGTTCCAGCATATGTTTTTGAAACATTCACATGGTCGTCCTTATTTTAGTCCTTTATTGGAGCATTCAAATTGAAATTGCTGGTTCTAAAATATTTTACATTTGCTCAAAATCTCTTCAGCTACTTTTGAAATGTAGAAAGCAATAGTATGCCCCTTTGTTCATTCTACTCCTTTACACAGATTTTCTGTTATGGAAAGTTTTTGCTCTCAAGGAAATGCGCTTGCTTCCCCCACTCCCAACAAAAGTAGTTAACAAGGTCAAGCATTTACAACTGGCAAAGCCTCTTCATGACAGGCACATAAGAAAGTTTTATTAAAGGCAGCAACCAACCATTTCTTGCTCACACATAATGGGAGATACATATAAAGTGTCAAAAAAGTAGAAAGATAATTAAAAAATAAGAAGGGCATAGTAAAAAGATCAGAACTGCTCTGAATGTACTTAAATGATACCCTGTACTTTGGCTTTTAGAACTCAATCTTCTCTTCAGATACCTCAGATTGTGTATGAAGATCCTGAAGTTAGTGGAAGGAATCGCTACAAGTACTTTGCACGGTAAGGAATGACCTGATTTGAAACAGAGTTCCGAAGCTTGCTTTTGTGTTGTTTAAAAAGCACCTAAATAAATGCCAGAGCCTTATTTGTTTCAGTCCTTTGTGTCAGTTCTTTGATTGTGCTATGGAAAATCTAAATAGTAACCAAATCTTTAATCATGAGGTCATTTTAAATTCATGCTGTGCCAAAATTTTCAGATAATGTTCAAGCAGAGCTGTTAATATGTGTTATTTCACATGGTGCCTTCTCACCTTGGTATATACTTAAACTACAGCTCAAGGCAGCATACTTAGTTCAAAATGAGAATCAACAGGTATGCAGCCTGTAAAGACTGCAAACCCATCCTGATTCTTCATACTAACTTCCTCACTAAGCCCTTAGCTAGTTAGCCTGTTCTTTAGCTCCCTACTGCATTTGCTGCCCTGCTATCAGTATTCACGCTAGCTAGTTTAAAATCACCCAGGTTTTAAACTCAGATAATGAGTTACCATGTAAGCAATTATACCAAGCATTCTGTACTTAATTATTTGTAGAAAGTTCTGTGCTGTAGATCATCCTACACAAAGGAAGAAGATGTTCACAAAGCCCTTGCGGCTATCCAGACTCCTGCAAAGGTGCCTTCTTAAGAAGGTACTTTTTAACTCCCAGTTCCTGCCAGGAACAGAAAGGCAGCAAAGGGAATCCATGATTAACTTTCCATCGATGTCCTCCATTGCAGAACTTCTCTGCTCCTTCCAGAGTGACACTGCAGCTCACCAGTGGACTCAAGATCTTAACCAACAGCTAGCTTATAAACACTGTCAACTTAGTCACATGTTCTTTGAAAAACTTTCGCTATTATAGACAGCAACTATTGGCAATAGGTCCACTTTAAATATAAAAAATTTCCAAGCTTAATAAACTTAAGTTCTTTATGGATCTTTAACAACAACAACAGAAGGACAAAGATGATGTTATCTTCTGCAATTTGAAATTAAAGTCTCTCAAAGGCTAAGGGAAAATGATAGTGAACTGCAATATGCAAACTATAAGAATGCCTAAGAAGGAATTATTAATAATGCCATTGAGCCCATATTACTTTCAAGATAATACAGAAAATACTGCAAAAAAAACCAACAAACAAACAAACAATCAAATTAGATAAGTTCAACCCAGCTTACCTTAGCAGCTGACGGTAGGAATTCATTTCAGGACTTACTTCAAGAAGTTATAAGAAAAAAAGCCCTCTCAAAAACCCAGAGTGGAAAAAAGTAAACTAATCAGTGAAACATACACAAAATGCTGTGAACACACTCAAACCTAGCTTCTTTTAATTATTGCCTTGGTTTGCAATTCCACATTCTGCTTTGACAGAAGAATACATGCAGAGGTACTGGTGAAACTTCCTCCGTTACTCCTTAGCCGTGAAAGATTACTTAATATTAAGGCACAGTTCATAAATATGCAACTACAGAATCTGAGATATGGAAAAATCAATGTAACTCCATAAAAATTTGTGGACTGCAGTTTTTCTAAACCTTAATGATCTTTTATGCTCATGGTTGTTTTACATTTGCATTCTCTCTCTTTCAGACCTCTCACCACTTCTTATAAGCTGCTTCCACTAAATATTACTTATTCAATGGCACAGTAAGTAGTGAGTTCCAAAACATTACTGTTGTAATGGGTCACATCTCACCAGAAAAAGGTTGGGGAACTAGTTAGCTGGTGACCAATATTTTTCATAATGAACCAACAGGGAAAACTTGTTAAAAGAGGTAAGATTTTGTTCACCATTGAGAATTCCTGACGAAACAGGTGACTGACTGTGTCAGAATTTGCTTGATACACATGAGTAATACTTTTTGTAAAGGTAAAGGACACATGCCTCAAGTGTGTTATGATTATGTGGCCTGAAACAGAAAGCCAAGTGTGTCTGAGTATTAGTAGAGATACCAATGCAAGGAAGATTCTTCCCTACAAGCAATGTTATTGGAAAATCTTCTGATATTTTATTAAACTGTCTGTGATAGTTGCAATACTGTTCAGTGATGTAGAACATCCACGAAGGAGTCTGATGATGTTTTCAGTGGGGATCAAATTTTGAGGAGACATAAGACTCATTTCCTAGTGGAGTCATGGACATTGCACGTACTTAGATCAAAATTGAATTTTCATTCTGGAATTGTTGGAAAGAGAATTATGTAAGCTAAATTGAAGCAGTCCTACTTCTGCTAACTCTCAACCATTAGTTACTTGTGCCCATTCAAATCAATGCTTTAGAATGCATACATGGGGAAGGCTTGCATGTGATAACTTGTGAGAGCTGAAACAAGAAGATTTCTGGATTGTTTACATAAGGAGGGAGGTTACGGAGACTCACTGTAGCCTCAGTCTGCTTTTACTAAAGACAATGGAGTTAACATCCATGGGAGCACAAACACGTTTGGATACCCTACCTTTGACTTAGTGTTTCTGTTTTGTTTGTTGTTGTTTTTTAAAATGAATGTGACTAATGTTCTTCCATTATGCATCTCCTTTTTAGGGCAGAGCCCTGTGTTCATTCAGTTATAGGAGACAGCAAGGTCTTTAGTCCCAGGTTACGAACTTTGGGCACACAGACAGATTACAGAGATGGTGAAGCCCAGACGGATCCCTATTCCCCAGAATACGTAGTTCCTAGTGGCTCAGTCCCTGAACTTCTGACACTTGCTACACTCACTTGGGGTGAGTTGTGAAACTGAGATAAATTATAACAATCATATCATCTCTTTAGCAGGAGGCTCATTGTTTTTTCAATGTCAGGTTTCAAGTCTGTTGCCAGCTTTGGCAGGCCTTTGTTGTTTTCCCTTGGGGCACATTATTTTGTCTATTTTTTTAGATAGGTATGGTATTTTCTTACTTAATAGTGCTGTTCTGGGGTACATCATAAAGAGTTTTGGTATCACTCAATATGAAAAGTTTGTATGTTTTACAGATATGAACTAGGAGCATTTTTTTCCATTCACCTACCATTCTTCAGCTGTTCTGAGTTAAACATCAGTAGACATCAGTAAAAAAACCAGTATGAACGCTGCTGCCCTAGAATATACCCATAATCTTCATCTCCCACTGTTCCACCTTTGATAATGATGGACACTGGACATGCCAAAGAAAGTGCTCATTCTCAGAAAGTGCCTTCTTGGAAAAGCTTTTCCTCCTTTGCCGCCTGCAGTAGAGGAATGAAGTGCTAGTGTTAATGTCAGCTAAGCCACAGCAAATGCAGGTCCTACCATTCCTCATACTGTAAAATTTTACTGGCCTTAGAAGTATTTACTTCAGGTTGTGGACAGTTCTTTTTGTGTTTAACATGTGAGCTTGTTTGTTAAACACAAAACCCTCTAATACTTTTTGTTGGTGGTTATTTGCTTGGTGGTTATATTGGATTCACCGTTCTCCTAAGGAGCTACTGTTTCTTGTTCCTGTAAGGTCGGGGTCTACCAGCAGGACTAGCTGAGGTGGAGATGATTGAACGCGCCCGGGAAAAACGTGCTTGGGAAGCAACTCTTCCAGCCATGGACAGTGCCTCAAATATCGAGAAGAGGAGGACAATGATGGAGGATATGGAGAGGAAGGAATGGGCCTTTAGAGAACAGGAAATAGAAAAGTAGGAATCGAAGTTTATTTCTTGAAATTATTGGCCAAATAGAAAAGGAACAAGCAGGTTTAGGGGATTGGCTGAAAGGTGCAAGTCTTTCATTTCTGTGCAAATCCCCTGATTTTGGGAAGTGATGTATTTGTTAAATTTAGTATAAGACAGTGCTGCCACAATACTTTTTACCAGTACTAAACTCACTGGTTAAAATGAAAGATTAAATAGAAGATATACAGTATGAACTACATGTAAATTAGTCAGTTGGTGTGTAGTATTTGATGATGACAGCATTGCACAGAACACTCTAGAGTACAGTAGGTGATACCTGGCCTTTCTTTGCAGGCTGCAGGAGGTTCGACTGGAAGTCTTAAAGAAGCTGCTCTGGAGGCAAGAGGAGAGTCAGAATGAGCTGGTTGCCAAGCGCTTGGATGCCCACTGGCAGAATTATCAGAAGGCTAAAGAAGAGAAAATGAAAAAGATTCAGAGTGACACTTCATTGAGTAAGTTTGAAAAATGGGAGAGAGCAGTATGACACTTAGTTTTCAGACAAGGCATTTCTGTTTTCACAAGGTTGCAGTATTTATTCAAGATGAAAAAGGTTGCATCCACAGTATAGATAGGCATGGCCAGCATTTGTTCTGGTCAAACAGATGATGTTTTTATATTAACTAGAAAAAGCTCTTGTGAATTTCTAAAGATATGGCTGGTTTAGAATGATTTGTATGAAGAACTTTTTAACATTTGTATTTCTTTTCCAGTGCTCAGGAAACTGATAGCTAAGAGGAAGAATGTAATGGGGAAGCTGGAGAGACGAGATATCATCAAAGACTATATTGACTTAGCATCCCAACCATACGCTCCTTTGTCTAGAATTGGTTATTTTCCAGACAACCATTCTGAACGTTACGTGGTAAAAAACGTCCATCTTAACACCTTTGCAGGTAAGGCATTTTGGAAGACTTGGTTTCTATGACATATTTACTTAAAATATGAATAAACCTCAAATTCTTTCCCCACCACTCCATTATTTAATCACTGTTTGTATTTCTTAGGACTGTGTGAATTGGAAGCATCTCTCCCAGATTCTGTCACCCAGGTCAAGATTAAAGCTCCAAAACCTAAGCAAGCTATCACTAAGACTGGATACGTTAAAAAAGCAGCAAGGCTAGAGGTGGCACTGGCACAAGTTCACCAGGTATAGAGCTGCATCCAGCAGCATGTCAGTTCCTGTTATATTTGAACTGCTCAAAAATGCAACTGGGAAGACATGTATAAGATTTCTCCTTATTTACTTGGCTATATTCATACTATTTGTAAGACAACTTCAAGGACAGAATGGATCAAACATTCAGACTGTTGTAGGTATGACCAGTACTGCTCTGCAACCCAGTCAGTCAGTCCTCTCTGTACTTCTGCTCCAACCCTATAGAAAACAAGCACTGCTGCTTCTGTCTTCCTACAGATCAGTTGTTTGTATCAGAACATACTATGTCAGTTGGAAATTCTCTCGTGCCATTTGCTCATTCTCATTTCTCCCTTCCTTTTGCAATGCACAAGTGGCAAGCCTATGGGTTACACTATCAAAGTGCTAATAATTAAATAAACCAAATGTGGATTCATATTCTAAAAATTCTGCCCTTTTTAAAAAACATGCGTTTTTAAGTACTTATTGTAAAAACACCTGCAGCAAAGCATGATTAAAATGACCCCACTCATAAAACTGGATGAGAACGGTGGATGCACAGCACTGTTGTTCCCTAACAACAGCATCTGATTTCCAAACATGCTAATAGTTTTTTTTTGCATCTTAATTTGTCATAAATGATCATGCAGATGAGGTGTCTGTATATGCAGTTAACCACTGGGGAAAGAAGTGCCTCATTTGCATCTACAATCACAATACTTGTAAATTACGTGTACTTTTAAGTGTGCTTTTTGTGATGCTTTTGAGGGCTACCTTTTTAAAAATACCAGGCATATTCTTGGCTGGCTGCTGTATCTCTGAAAAATATTGCATTTCATTTGTAAAGCTTGGTAACTTCTGCTTCATTTAGTGAAGAAATATTTCATGATTGGAAATCGTGTGCATAGCTTTCTTGCTTTAGTGTAATTAATAATACTCTCAATGGTGACAGTTACATTCTACTAACAAATTTGAAATAGAAATCTTGTTCCAAAAAATCAATCATATTACCTCCAACTGAAGTTCCACTGGATCTTGTCAAAGATGGAACATTGCCTCTGATTATGATTCACGAAGAAAAATATCAAGATCTTGAGTACTACAGGAGTTGTTGAAGATCTAAGGACATCCATTCACAACAGATGTAGAGCAGAAGACACAGTAGTATTGAAGGGGTTTGAGTTTGGCCGATTCTTGCATAAAATTCCAGTAGTGACTAGGTATAATCTGGATCATAACACAGTTCTCATAGGCAGCAAAATGTTAGCCCAAGCTTGCAGAGCTGAGTTCTGTTTGTTCAAAATGCAGCAGTTACATTCTGTTTGTTCAAAATACTTCTTGAGGTTTGGAAGTATGCCCTAATGCTGGCTGCTTACACAGTAATGTCTCTTCAAAGGAAAATTGGTGACCAAAGGGAGATAAAATGCAGAACAAAAGCAGACAATTGTGCGTATTTTCTTTTCTCAATCAATGTACATCACTTGTTCTACATCGGTTCTACCACCTGAGGGGCTAACATAACTCATTTCCCCACGATAAAAAGGCAAAATATATATTCTTTTAAAATCATGAAACATCTTCTTTGCAGGAAAAGATGATAAATCCACTATGAAAACCTACCTGCTGCTTTTAGATAATACAGAAGTAGGCACCAGACCAGTTGGTCCAGACAGGAAGAAAGTAATGACACTGAAACACCCAGACTGCCTCAGCCATTGTTAGGTTTAATCACACTTTCCTTTTCAGAGCCATATGAAGTTGCTGCCCTAATTAGCACTTGAGCTCTATGGTGCTGTCACTGATCACTTCTCCCATCAGAGTCTTTTGCATCTTAAGCTTGGTAGCTGTAGCATGTTCTGGCTTAGCAGGGCCTCTCTGACAGGTCCACCTCATTAGGTACTGGAGCTGTTTAGAACAGGGCAGTAAAGGGTGCAGAGTACTTGAATTAACGGAATTTAGCAGAATCCTCCTGGAGAGGACAGCTGTCTGACAGCTTGGCATAAGCAGTCCCAATTGTGCCAACCACCTCCATCAAACAGCATGAAGGAGGTTTAAACCAGGCAATTAAGGATCATCTTAGAAGAGCAGTGTGTTTTCTTGCATTATTTCTATAGCTGAGCAGCTAGACAAGTTTTCTCTACAAAAGCCTCTTTTTAGTGCTGTCCTAGCACACTTAATCTACACATTTTCTCCCATAATCTTAGAAATAAAGCAAAACTCTAGAAAACTCAGAAAGTACACAGTGATCTAGCAGTGGAATTAGTTTATTTCATTTTCTCTGGATAAGCTCTTGAAGGAGGTGGCAAATAGAGGTGGAATGCTAGATTTTGGCCTCAGAAGTAATTCATAAAGGAATTTTCCAAGGCTTACTTCTCTGGCCAAACAAGTGGCAAGATGGACTAGTCCTCCTCATTGTGTTTCTCTTGCTTTGCCATATTGATGGTTTTCCTAAGCTTAAAGCTTGTAAGAAGGGCTAAGCAGTTATTCAAGAAGTATAAAAAGGACCTGTGTCCTCTTGAGATTAAGAGGAGCTTCTTTCAGACTTGAAACTAAGCCAGAAATAAGCGGGTTTAGGAGCAGACTTCTTGAGGACCATCCAGAAAACTTTTGCAGTATTATGTCCACTCAAAATCGAGAATTCTCTGACTAATTCTCTGAAACATGAGAACATGGCAGAAACAGGAGTGACCCAGGGTTCACTGTAAAAGCAATAATCTGTATCTTAAGCCAGATCTGTAAAAGGACAAGGAAAGCTAGCTGCTAGCCAGCACAGATGACAGTGCTTTAAAGAATTTGAGCCATTACATAGAGGGCCTTCTGTGAAAATCCAAGGTATTGAGGAAATAGCATACTGATATAACTAATATAGTATTACTATAGCAATAGGAAAGCAATGCAACTAGGTAACTGAATACACCAAGGAACAGAGGAGGTGCTAGAAGAAATTCCAGTGCAGAACAATATGTGATGTCAGACAAACCCTCTGTGCTCTGGTGTCTCAAGAGGGGTAAAGAGTCAGGTAGTTTTGAAGTGCTGGATCAAGATGATGTCAGAACAAAGAACCTCTCACCTCAACATTAAGTGCAACTCTCATCACATCTGTTTTCCTTTATCTGGTTGCTGGAAGGAGGTAGAGAAGTAGGGGGAGGAACAAGAATGTCTCTGGAGAAAATCTCTGCCAACTTCAAAGCATAGGAAAACTGTTCAAGCAGTTATTTCATCAAGACCAGATCTCCATACAGTGTTAGCTGGCTCATGCTCAGACAAGGCTCTAAGAGCTATTATGGCAGTCTTGATCATCTGAGATGCAGCAGCCATGCTGCATTGCAAAGTCGGTAGTCAGTCTGTCCTTGATGATCTCACCATCTTCATTCATGGGCAAAAAGGAAGAAAGAAGAACATGACTATATACTCTGTGCTGTATATGAAAATAAAATATCCCCAGTATCGTGGGAAAAGAAGAGGATCAGAGAGAAGATAAGGAAGGAATCTAAAGAATGATTTCTTTGAACAGAGAGGAGTTTCTCAAGCCATTATCCTGTCTAGAGTTCTGCTTCTATCAGAAGCTAGCAAAGAAGCTAAGGTGTATGGCCAAAACCATGTGTGCCATTTGTTCTTCATTGCACTTGCCAGGAAAAGGAGGTGAATTGGGTGGTCCTTCACTGTCCAATCCAACCAGACTATACCATGACTCTGAACCTACTACCTGAAAGAAACAGTGTGGTCTATCTCAGAAAAATTAGTGTGTGATATATAGGCAGTAACATTTTTAAATATGTTGTTCAGAAATTTGGCACTTTTTCAAGCAAGTATTTTGCAAAGATTCTTGGGCCCTGGCCTCCCAATGTTGAAAAATGGAATCTTGTTAAGTTAGGCAGAACCAGTTCATACAAACCCCCTTAATTTCTTTTTCTTTTCCTGCATTAAAGTCTTAAAATAACTTAAAGCCTCAGATTAGAGAAGTCAAATGGTGAGCATTTTTGACTTAGTAAAGATAGCAAAGCAGGCAGTAGACTGTGCTGAGGTGAAAATGTAAAACCAGTTCTAGGAACTGCAGTATTTCTCAAGTCTACATTAATAAGGACTCCCTCTTGTCAGAAGTGCTCACAGATTTTTCTGACTTTAAAAGTTGTTATTCTGCTTGGATTTTGTTGTCCTGGTTAGCAAGAAATATTTTGGGAGGCTAAGGTTTTATTAGGAAAATACTTATGAATGCAACATTGTGCTAACAAACATAGGAGCCATTGTTTTC